TATGTACATACATACATACATATGTACAGCCATGTATAAATACATGCATGCATACGTACATTCCTACATGCATGCATACATACATAAATACATATGTACATACCATTTACATACATATATTTCTATATACATATATTTCGACATACATACTTATCTACCTACATATGTACAATAGAATACAACTTACCATCACTTAACACTTATAATCAAAGCATGGAAGGCTTACTTGAATTTATGAAAATCTAAGAGGAGGGCTACGTTAAAATATTCGATTTATTTAAATAGCATCGTAGCGGAAAGTAAACTATGTCATCGTTTGGTATAATAGATCGTACATTCATGCATATATGTATATACATACATACATGCATACATATATACATACATACACATACACATGCCCGTACTGTCTTGAACTCCACGCCCATGTTAGTCTTGTGGTGAGAATCTTGAAGCCGACAAATAAACATTTTTTTTTTAAGCCTTTGACCCGCATTTACCATCCAAGAGTTATGGATTTGGCCAAAAGCGTATCAAATATATTTTAAAATATATTTTAAGATAAGTTTGAGTCCGATTTGATGAAACTCAGAAAATCATCCAATCTACTTTTGACGTTGGCGTTTATCATCGAAAGGGGGCGATTTTTGCGATTTCACGTCCTGGTCATGCGTTGATCATTGAACCTGTCTTTATATTGAACCCATAGACCCTCTTTCATTGTTAACGCTGCCCATTAAATTGAAAAAACATTTGTATATTGACAATATTGATAAATTTGACTTTCTCTGCCTTTATTTGCACTCTACTCGTAACATGTTTTAAATTTGTTCAGTTTGCTTTTATGTAATAGGTATTAATGCTATATATACACATGTATATGTATATGTATATGAATATGTATAAGTATATGTATCGTATAATACATGCAATTTATCTATTCGAGAGGCGTTTCAAATACAATCCACATTCTTATATGACACACATGTCAATCCGCTCAGTTTGCGGCTCATCAAACCTGAAATCAGTCGAAAACAATCGGCGCACTTTAGCACATTCAGTTAATAATTCTTTTCTCGTTTTCATTTATTATATGTATGTGTTATTATTATGTTTATTATATTTGTTCTACCAGTGACAAACAGAAGTCGAAAAGTTATTTTAAAATGTTTAATTTTTGCATTTGTTGTTGCTTTTCGAAAAAGTAGAAAAATATTGCTCTAAAAAATACAGGGCAACTCTTTTCGTTCGTTAAATATATGCTATATATATGTATACATATATACGCCATACATATATATATATATATATTTATAAATATATTTTAGATACTTATAATTCATAGGTGTTTGCGTGTTTGTTTACTTTTGTTTTTGTTCTTGTTGTTGTTGTTGTTTTGGTACAGGCTTAGACATAAAAACAGGCGCTAGTTGAAACCTTGGAGGGCAACAGATTTACAATTGTTATGACATACATACATATGTGTGCATGTCGGTGTATGTAAATATATACTCGTGTATCATTTTCTTTGCATATATATTTGTGTGGATATTATATGATTCCTCCGATCTACAAAGTCAATAGGGGGCGGGACAGGGCGGTCTGGCGCGATTACGCATAAGTGTGGGATGTCTTAAGTGTTTCCCTGGTTCAGACTTCAGGCTTGTTAGACATGTTTGGATACCCTGTAACTGTGTGTACGTTTCTATGGACCGAATCGAATCGTATCGGTTTGTTAGCCAGCACAAGTCGAGGCAAATAACAGCAACTAACGTGAGCTTTAAGCTAACAGTTTAACAAAATAGCGGCTCTTAAAGTACCGACTAAAGCTTCAGCAAACTATGACCTTGTGACATATCTCAAGCTAACATTTCCTATTGAAAACAATATAGAAAACACAGGGACACATTTGGTTTTAGAGGCACTTTAAGTATTTCTCATACATTGCTCTTTAAATAGAGGCTGACATACTTGATAAACTAACATGAACTCCGCATGGTAAACCGATTAATATTATTCTTCTGAATTCATTTCTAGTATACATGTACAAAATTGGTAGTATTTATCGAGTTAAGATAGGTGTATAAATTTATATTTGATTAAATCCATGTAAACTTATATCATAAAACTAATTCCAGAAGCTTCTTTAAATAACAAACAAAAAAATAACAATTCATTTGGCGTTGTTAAACTTTAAGGTATTTCAACCAAGAACATTGTAAGGAGATCACACGAACCGAATCGTATCAATATTTTAAAGCAAAAACATTTAGTATTCTATCTAAATATACACATAGCTCTAATAGAACGGAAACAACAACATGCCCAGTTACCCAAATCAAATATATAGAAGAGAGATAAAAAACAGATACAAGTGAAATGAAATCACATTTTGTGTGTATTTGGTACGCAAAGAAATCATAATCATATATATGTATATATATATATATACATATATATACATATATGTATATATATTTAATAATAATGATGGTATGATAATTTTAATAGTAATAAAAAAAAACATTAACAAACTGGTTGCTGATCATAAAAGTCGATGATATAATATATCATATTAAATCGTACGTCATTATATGTTTTAGTAGCTTAATGCGTAATATGTAGGTAAGCAATAGAGGTATAAGGATGGTGAGAGGAGAGTGGAGTGGGGCCTTTCACAACTAAGACAGATGCACGTTTGCTCTAGGGCTACGAAAGTCACGCATTTAAGCTTTGCTCAGTTATATAACTTGATGTACATTGACTATAACAATATTAAAATTATATATATATATATATATATATATATATATATATATACATACATATCGTATATATTTGTGTATATATGATGTGTGTATGTGTGGTCGTATTCTGTATAGAAATATTTAGTCAATAGCTTTGCAACGACAACTCGTGGCGGCGATTGTCAGCTTTAAAGAATGTCGTGCGTTCCTTTTGAACTATATATATATATATATATATATACTATATAGTATAATATATATTACATGTTTATAATATATATGAAACAGTATTTCATGTACATATATATTTATTACATATTTGTTGCTTAACTATATTTGTTTTTCTTTAAAAAAAAAAAAGGCGTTCGTATTGTAAAGCTACTAAACTATATCATACAACTCATATGTATACATATACATGTATAAATATGTATGTATATATATAACATACACATATACACAATCAAAAAGCAAACGTTTAACATTTGGATTTAAATTAAAGTTTAACAACTGGCAATAGGTTCTTCACATTTCTGCAGCTTTTTTTCTATTAAATATTTGTGGTTTTTTGTTATTAAATTACTTTAATGCTTTTTGCTAAAAAGGTACTTGAAGTGTATACACTTAGGGGGAAGGGGAATCTTTAATGAATGCAACTATATAACTATGCGTGTGTGTGTAAATAAATTGCAGCTTAATTTGCTCAGCGTTTTGTATGTACACAATTGAGTTTTAATTTAACTAAAGTTCTCTTTTCTTTACTCTTTTTTTTTTGTTTTATTATTTTTACGTTTTGTTGCCTTTGCTGTCAACTGTCAGCGCTTAACAATTTTTCGAAACTTGTTATTTATTTTGTGAGTTGACAAAAAAAAATTAATTTAATATAAAATAAAAACAAATTGCATTGTGCTTTCTGAAGCCAGGAAACAAAGAAACTGTTAACAAGTTTTGCATAAATTTGTAACTACAATAGTTTAATGCCTAAAAACTAATTGTTGTTGTTGTTTGTTATATTTTTTTTTTGCTTATGTTACTAAAAGTATCTTTGATTTAACATTTACTTGAGTGTCGCATGTTGTGTTATTGTTTGTTTGTTTTGTTTGTTTGTTTTAGTATAGGGTATGCGGATTGCTATGCTACGCTTTATTGGCCCGTGTTAGTTTTGTTTCTTTTTTCTTTTGGTTGATTTTGTTAGCACTTACGTTAATAATATATAACATATGATAATTATAATAGTAATAGTAATAATAGTTGTTGTAATCATAATAGTAATAATAATATAGTAAATAGTATATAACATGTAGCGAATTAAACAATTCAAATTTTTAACAGCAGCTGCTGCATCTTTTTGTTCTTGTTTTTCTTGTTTTTTTTGCAAAGGACTCAATAATAAGGCGCTAAATGTTGTTTTTAGTACTTTACATACATATATGTATAGAGGTGTATATATTTATGTGTATTTGTGTGTGTGTTACACATATGACGTATATATGTTTTCAACTCACAGCAAACAAACATATAAAAGTATTTTGATAACGCAATTGTTGCTTGCTTTTTTTAACATTTTTCTCTTTCACTTTTTTCTACATTTTTGCCATTTTTTTGTTTTTAATTTGTTTGTTTGTCAGCACAATTTGTTATTTTATTTGTTTTTGTTTTTTGTTTTTACCTTCTCCTTCTTAGGTTTCTTGTACATTTTTCTTACGTCATAAATCGTATGTAAACAATTATGATTTTTAAAAAAATCGTGCCCAGCTAGCACCTTAGGACATTTTTGTGTTTTTTAGTTTTTGGTTGATTTTTTTTGTTTTAGTTTTTCTTTTGTGTTCTAAGCGAGTTAAAAATGTTTAAAAATGTTTTGTAAATTATATATATGCACAAATTGTAAATTAAAAGCTAACAAAGAAAATTGCAACTATTAAAAAAAATTATATAATGGCCAACAATTAACAGGCACTTGTGCTTGCCACTAAATCAAGTCCAATAAAAAGTTAACAGCTAAAATTAAACTATGAAAAATAGTTATAAAAAAAAAATATATATATAATAATATTAATATTAAATAATATATTATAATAAAGAAAATTGTCGCTCGATAACAAAAACACAGAGAATTAATAAAAAAAAAAAATAATAGAAAAAGAAGGGAAACCAAAACATTTGACTAAATGCGCCGCATTGTACAGAGTTCGCTTTAGAAAGAGACAAGTGGTGCGAGCAGGATGGCGACTGAGGTTGTGGGAGCTAGTGTGTGTGTGTGTGTGTGTGTGTGTGTGTGTGTGCCAGTTTAACAAACAGTCAGACCTACAAGTGTCTACTGTCTGCCGCCAGCTTTGCGCCATATTCACCGCATCCAGGCGGCCTTCCTCTTGATCTTGGTGCGCAATCCCCGCAAGGGCTTCACTTTGCTCTTGGTTGCCACAGCGCTGAGCGACAGCATGGACTGCCCGTTGCCAGCCGCCGCAACGCCTCCAGCTGGTAGACAGCTGACGGCCGGCATATACAAGTTGGACACCGAATTGCTCCCGGTGACATTTGCGCTGTACAGCTCCTCGTAGAGCGGCCTTTGCTGCTGTTGCTGCTGGACGAGCGCTCCAGCGGCGGCCACATTGGCAGCAGCGCTGCTAAGCAGCGCCATTTTGCTGCCGCTGCCATTGGTATAGACGCCGGTGCTCTGCTGCTGCTGTTGCTGCTGCTGCTGCTGCTGATGATGATGGTGATGAGGATGGTGATGATGATGCGGCTGCTGATGCTGATACTGCAGCTCCAGATGCTGCCATTTCTCCTCCTCAATGCTGCGACTGGAGGCACGCTTATGCGGTGAGCCGTGACTGCTGCCGCTACTACCGTTGCTATGATAGTGCGTCGTGGTCGTCGACGAGCCGCACTCAACAATGGAGGAGCGCGATAGTGAGAGCAAGGCATCGACACCGTCACGATGTCGCTGCTGATCGGCCAGCTCCTCGGGCGTTATATTATGACTGTGCAGAAGGGTTCAACAACAGATTAGCTAACTGCTACAAATTGATATTGATGGCGACTTACTTCTCCTCGCTGCTGTCGTAGGCCGCATCGGAACTGGCGCAATTGCTGTCGGCACCATGGCCAACACTGGCCTGCGTCTGCTGGACGGCCTGGCCATTGCCATTGGTCAGCGGCGTTGAGGCGCCGCTATCCGCATTGCTATTGCCGCCCGCCGAGTAGGTGTGATCCTCGCTGGGCGAACTGGTTATCACCGGTGCGCTAAATAGAAGAGCCGAGGGCATACAATTGATTAAAGTTTGTCACAAAGCTCTCACAGCCTTCATCAATCTTGGGTTCAGGCAGCTTTTCATATGACTCAGATCTCTGACTCATAGCTGATTAGATGGCAGTGCCATTCCGCGTTTCCTTTGTGGGACTCCCTCTCCATTTATGTTATACTATGTAGGAGATCTATACTATCTTTACTATACTATACAAAAAAGCTATTTTCGGAACGCGGAAGATTGAATATTTTTTAGGAATACATGACAGATAGGATAATCGGTTAGTGAATCGATATACATGTGGATGCAAGTAGATATGCAAATAGACATACTAATCGATATACAATTTGATTAGCGAATCAGTAAATATATCAATGCAATATCTGATATATCTGTATTTTATTTCAATTTTTTGAACTCACAAATCTATGCACAGCTCTCTATAGCAAGTCTCCTTACGTATCGATATAAGAATCGATATTAATATTTATGCGCCTGTCTCTCTTCATCACAGGCCATTTAACGCTATTCACTTACCCATTTTGAAAGGTTTCACTGAAGGCTTTTGATCCATGTTTAAGGAAAAGCATCGCCGCTGCTGCATGGACATCGTCGATGCTATCGGCGCCGCAGTCGCGTGCCAGCCGCTCGAAATTGTAGGCACAGACTGGAACGGCTGATGCGGAGCCAGTTCCGTTGCCAGTTCCATTCGCAACGGCAGAGTTGTACTTGTTATTGTTGTTATTGTTATTGTTATTGTTGTTGCTATGATTGTTGTTGTTGTTGTTGTTGTTGCTAATATTATTATTGTTGTTATTGGTCACATAATCGCCAGGCAGCTCCTCATCCAGAGCATCACCCATGAATTGCGGCGGCAGCGAAGGCTCCTCAATATTGCGAAATGCCTTAGACAGATTGGGAAATAGCTTGGGATCGAAGCGGGCATGACTGCCAGCAGAAGCAGCGGCCCCAGTGCCGCCATTCGGCGTGGCCGGCTGACTGCCGCCATTGCCATTGGCCAGCACCCCGTTGGTTTTCGCGGGCGTTGTGGGCGCCGGCGGAACATTCGCGTTGCCATCCAAGCTATCGTAGCCAACGATGCCCACGCTGGCGGCGCCATTGCCATTGGGACTCTTAAGCATTGGGCTAATTTTGTCGACGGCCGAATTGGGGAAGTAGGGGGAACGGTTGAGGGCCTGCATGAGATTTTGACGCTGTTGCGGCTCGACGCGCCACAGCGAGCCCTTGCCCATATTCGGAGCCTTCTCCACTTTGACAAAACTCTTGTTGAGGGACAGATTATGCCGCACGCTGTTCTTCCAGCCATTCGGTGCCGACTTAAAGTAGGGAAAGTGCTGCACGATCCAAGCATAAATCTCCTTAACGGGCAGCGCCTTCTCAGTCGAGTCCTCAATGGCCATGAAGATCAAGGAACTGCAAATAAAAATAAATAAAAAACAATAATAAATTAGTCTCAATATTTACGTATTTTATTAAATTATCATTTGTTTTTTAATTATAATTTCTGAAAGGATCAGCAGAGCCATAAAAACGAATTGGTTAAAACGAACACGAAATATCTTTCCATCTAATTGAGCTTTAAGTTTGTAGCGCGCGCTTTCAAGCTCTGCTAGCTATCTTAATGCCTAAAATTGCTTTTATGGCTGCGTTCCTTAAACTTTCAGATATTTTATAGTTTTATTTTTTATATTCGTATATACATTTTTTATACGTTCGAGCTTACTTAGTCCAAGTTTCCGTTTAAAATTTTCATTCATGGGTTTTGCGAGCTTTAAACATTTTCATTATCAATCGCAATTACCACAAAAGGTTGACAGATATAAATAAATATAAAAAGAAATATTATGTATTTTTTATTTCTGATAAAATTTGCCTCAGCTGAGGAAACTTTTTCCATCATATACATATATAAATACAACAAAATGCATAAAATCGCTTAAGGCTGATTTATATATAAGCTTTAGTTGATCATATTTTCAACCAATTCCAGGTTAAATTAATAAGGAAATATACTTCACGTAACATATAATAATATTAGAGTTTGTATAAGAACAACCAATCTATGAGGTAAGGTTAGGTCAGTGTAATAGACGAGGATAGTTAAGCCTTGATGAACTTCGAAAAAGATTGGTCTAAATTGACTAAAGAAACGATAAATTGGGACCTCAGTTCCGAGGCAAGGATGAAGTCTTTGGGTCTTTGCTTGCAGAGATCTGATAGATACAGAAGGATCCAAAGTTTACAAGCAAACGGAATCTAGTTTTGCATAGAGGAAGGAAGTTTCCATTAGAAAGTTTTTGGAAGACTTGCATTTTGATAGTTGAAAATCCTATTTGATTTTCTCTACGAAACGTAATCAGCATTTTCTGCACTCTTTTTGTTTGTTTTTAACATATAGTAATTATTATATTATGTTATATTTCTTTGATTTATGTTTTTCAATGATATACCTTTCAATTCTCATTTTATTACATTTAACTAAAAGATAAAATTGGCCCTAAATTTTATCTATCAGTTTTAATAGACTCAATTTTGGATAATTTGGTTATTCGCTCTTACCTAAAACTATATGGCGGCTTGTTGTTGGTATGCACAAATGGATCATATGGCACATTGTTGGGATGCTTTTGCTTTTGGGGCGTGTTGTTGCTGTTGTTGTTGTTGTTGCCAGCGCCGGAGCTCCCGTAAGTGGATGAATTGTTGTTGTTGTTGTTGTTGTTGTTGTTGTTGCTGTTGTTGTTGCTGTTGTTGTTGTTGTTGTTGTTGTTGTTGTTGTTGTTGTTGTTGTTGTTGTTGCTGTTGCTATTATTATTATGGTTATTGTTGCTGTTGCTGGTGTTGTTGTTGTTTTTGGTCATAGATTGATACTGGGGCGTACTGGTGTGTATGCGCGCCATATCGAACTCCTTTAGCGAATCCTCGTTATCGAAACTGGCGTAGCTATTGGGGCTGCGCAGATTCACAACGCCAGAGGCGGAACCCGAACCCGAAACGGAACCGGAACCGGAGCCATTGTGAACTGTTGTTGGCGTCATGGGCGGTGGCGGCGGAGTCACCGACAGCTGCAGCGCACCCGAACGCGACTGCACCGCACTGTAGTAAGTTCCAGGCGGCAATAGCGCCGCACCTGGCGGCGTCTCCGGTGAGGATATATTGGCGGGCTGTTGTGAGCTGTTGTGGCAAGGACAAAGAGGATTATTTAATTTGTCTTCCAAAAGATGGCTACGCCCTACACCACCGTCACTAGCAGCAGATCGTTGACGAAGCCGACGACCAAAGCAAAAATGAGAGAGTCCAAAAGATTTGCCCTATTAAAATCATTCAAGCCAAACGAAAGAGATAGAAGGGAAAGGAAGAGGGAGAGAGAGAGAGCGATAGCTGTGCTAGCTCTGTATTTTAATTTTTCGTACTGCATTCCAATTGTAGTCCACGTTTACGAATGCGCACAAAGCATAATTGCCAAAATGCATGACTCTGCTATCCTTCTTTCGCTCTCTCTATCTCTTTCATTCTAACAAAAGAGTTGGCATCTGTTTGTCACGCAACGTAAAGCTGGGCCTGGGAAGTTTTGTTGATTTCATTGCCATTAAAATGTTTACGAACATGACTAAAGTAAAAAATGAGAAAATGCAAAGATCGCATTTTTGCATAAATAGAACGCGATAGAAACCTCAAATGGATTACACACGAATTGTCATACTTAAATATTGATGTCATACATGACAAATAAAACTGTTACGAATGCGAGCACAAAGCAAAATCGACAATTTAGAGCGACCGATCTTCTCTATCTCTCTCTTTCTCTCCGTTTCTAGCGTAAAGACAAATTCATTTGGGGCAACGGCAGCAATGAAAAGAGAACATTGATATTAAAACATTTACGAATGCAAACAAAGCAAAATATAAATAATTACAGCTGCTTTTCTCTCTCCCTTTCTGCAGCAAGAGCAATGGTGGATAGAGAAGATTGATATTGAAATGTTCACGAATGCAAAAAGAAAAGAAGCACAATCGACCAAATGAAAAGGTACTCTTTCTTCGAACTCTCTTTTTCTCTCTTTCTCTTTCTTGATTTGTAGCAACGACAGTGGTGAGCAAAGGACGCGACAGGCTTACTCACATGACATGCGGTGCACTAACGTAACTGTAGCCCGGCGGCAACGTTGTGGTGCTAACCACAGTTGGTGACGTTGTGTGATGTTCGCTGGTGTTGACGGTGGTGGTGGTGGTGCTGCTGCTACTGCTGGGCGTTGAGTAGTTGACGGCATCGAAGACCGCGTTAAAGCTGCTGGACTTCGGCACCGGACTACTGCCACCATTGACGGCCGCCGTGGATGAACCAGATGCGGAGCACGAGCTGACTGTTGAGTTGTTTGAGGAGGCGGGCGAACTGACCACAGTTACCGTCGATGCCACCACATGGCTGTTGTTGTTGGTGGTTGTGGCATTGTTGGTGTGTTCCACATGCACATTCATCTTCTCGCGCAGATACTTTTTGTGCGGATGATGCGTTGTAGTGTTCCCAGTAGATTTGTAGGTGGCGACAGCAGCTGTTGCACTCGTGCCATTGCTGTTCACAAAAATCTGCTGCTGCTGCTGCTGTTGCTGCTTGACAGTTGCTGTTGTTGTGGGCATGAACGAGCTGCTCGCCACACGCGGCAAAAAGGCAACGCCGCCGGCAACAGCACCACCGGCGGCATTCGGTTTGGTGGCTGCTTTGTACTCCACAACGGTGGTGGTGCCGCTGGGTCCCTTGTGCACCGTTGTGGTGCTGTATACGGCGGGTGACTGCTGCTGCTGCTCGTGGGCATCTCCTCCATGGGGCAGCTCTTCGATTATGTCGCTCACTAGGCAAATGTTGTTGGGCGCTGTTGTTGCTGCTGTTGCTGTTGTTGTTGTTGTTGTTGCTGCCGCTGCTATTGTTGTTGTTGGTGACGTTTTCAGCGAAACTGCAGCGCCACCGCGTTTCGCGTGCACTGCCGCTGCGGCAGCGACTGCTGCTGCTGCCGTTGTTGTTGTTGTGGTCACAATACCTTTGATCAGATTGGTATCATTGAGCCAGGATAAGGAACGCAGCTCCCCATCATCAGCCGCTGCAGCTGCGGTGGCCAAAGCATCCGCTGCGCTCAACTCCATCGGCTCTGTGGCAAGCAGCACAATGTTGCCACCTGCAGCAGAAGCAGCGCCGCCGCTACCTGTGGCATTGCCAGCTTGTGCTGCCGCTGCCGCTGCGGCTGCGCTGCTCTCGTACGCCGTAAAGCTGCCGCCGTTATGCTGCAGGAATACGTACTTTGAGCCGGAATTCATGTGGCCGTGTCCGTGTCCGTTCGATGGCGATGCGGCGGCCGTTGTCCCACCTACGCTACGATAACCGTGAGCGGCAGCTGCCGCTGCTGCCACCACGGCGCTTGTTGTGGCTGCCGCCGTTTGCAGTTGTCCCCGCAATTGACTCAAATCGTGCGTTGTTAGCAGCTGTGTGGGATTATCTGTTGACATGCTGTACGACAAAAAGAAACAAAGACACACAATATATAATTATTAAGTATGTATGTGGCAAGGTTTAGCAATTAACTTAAAAGTTATCGATTTAGCTGATTGTCAACAATTGTTTTATTATTAATTACTTGTTATTATTAACTTGTTTTTTTCAGTAATCTCATTTATAATATGTAATCTTGTATACCACTACCAAAGAAATTCTTATTCATTTAGATTCTTCGATAACTTTCCCGTTTTGTCTAAAATCGATAAATATCGATTTTCAGCACAGGGTATAAGAGCAAGCATAAAAGTAGAATGGAAGCCATATTACGATTATCCGCAGCTAGTTAAGGAGTATATCCTAGTCGTGTCGACGCTCTCTCTGTCTATTTTTCTGCTTACACACAATATACCAAAAACATATTTTATCAAAAGTAGTTTTTTTTCTAATTTTATTTTTCAATCAGCAATTTCTAATCAAATCAATTAGCAAAAGCCAACACATGCTTAAAAAGTTGTCGGCGTCCTTCAAATTTTTTTATTGCATACCTCAATGCGCATGCACCCCACTGTACCCCGTTTCAATTACCCCGCTGATGATAAGTAATATGTATTACCCCAAATACACACACACACACACACACACACACACACATACGTACAAACTTGTGAGGCTCATTTTCCACAGTGGCCACATTTTTAAGTCAAATGCTAAACGCTTTACGCAATCATCGCCAGCCGCCCGCCCAGGCAGCCATTTTCGATGTGTGTTTTGTTTGTGTTTGTTTTTGTTTTTGTGCTTGTTTCTGTTTTTTCGTTTTTTTTGCATTCTTTTTTTCAACAGAATTTTTTTATTGCTTCTAATTTACGCGTGTAGTTTTTGCTGTTTTTATGGCTTGATGAGTGGCAGCGACGCCGGCAGTGGTAGCGCAGCTCGCGTTCACCTGCGGCTGCTTGATTTTTTTCTATTAGCTTTTTTTTTTGGCTATTTAGTTGCGCGCGTCGCTTTGTGTATGTGTATGTGTTTGTGCTTATGTGTGCGTGTTTTTTCCGCTCCTCATCTCTATTTCTTAGTGTCTGTGTGTGTGTGTGTGTGTGTGTGTGTTTACTGTTGAATTATCTTATCAGCATTTTGCATTCGTGTTGCTAGTGGCTGTCGCTTTAACCGTAATGTCTGTTGTTCAAAGTGCGAAAGAGAGATCAAGTAGAACTGCATTAAAGGATATTGAATTAATTATCGATATTTGCAATTATATTAAACGAATTTAGTTCTAACAACTTAAACCATTTACAGTTAATCAATAGAGCAAATATTTAGTTATTCACGTGTGAGCGCCTAATGGTGCGAGAGACTCATTCCCCTGTAAATGTATTATTTATTGATTTTTATTGGCCACTGACAAAATTACTGCGACAACAACAACAACAACAGCAACAACAACAACATCAACAACAACAAAAGAACAGTAACGCGGCTGGTGTAAAACGAGCGCGCCACAACAAAGAGGGAAAAAACTTGAGCGAGTCACAACAAACGATACGAAACGAAAAGCAAGGCAAAAGCAAAAGCAAAAGCTCAACAACAACAATTTTGAGCGCCACACAAAAGTCGCTCTACAGTCGCATGCCAAAATAATGGACAAACAAACAAAGCAGAGCAGCCCTTCACAGCTGTTGTTTTTGTTCTTGCTGCTTAAGGCAGGCCAAAACACAAACAAATGAAAAAATAAAGCTTACGACGCAATTTTGAAAGTTTGCGTCGTTGTCTTGGCAACTTTTTATAAACAAAATACAACAACGATAATTTGCACAGTAGCGTCGCGCGAGAGGTCCCACGACGCCGACGCCAGCGTTCGAGCAAACGACAACGTGGTTTTGGTTACGCTTGCTTCCCCTAAGCAATGTGCATGAGTATGTGTTTATATGTACCTTTGTATTTACCTAATTAGCTAAATAGATACAATCAAACATATGTGTGTGTATCTACATACATACACCTCTTGCTAAAATATTGCAAATTGTACACACACACACACAATGCAAGCCATTTGAGCCGCTGTTGTGACGTGTGCCAAAAACAAAAAAGAAATGACTCTCCCGTGCCTCTCTCTTTTCTTTATTGCTCACTCGCTTTGTTAGACTCTCACTCTCTCTGCCTCTCTCTTACTTTTCTGTTGTTAATCTGCTTTTACGTTGCGTTTTGTTTGTTTTTCAAGCGTAAGCCAAATGGCGCAGTTTCAGGCTGAGCTCAGTGAAATTCAAGAGAGTGCGAGAATGCAAGAGCGCTCGGATGCAGAGAGCAAAGCGGGCTGCTTTAAGCCGTTGTTTTTGTAGTTATTAGGCTTTTACGCCTCGCTGTCTGCACACCTCTCGCATAGGAGCAGCAGTCGCGCTGTCCATGTCGCGTCAGTTGTCAGTTTTTCGTTCTAGAAACGTCAACTGCTGCAGCGCAGCCCGCTGTCCGCTGTCCGCTGCCCGATTTCTGTGTGACCTATGGACCTTTTGAATGGCGCTTTCTATGCTGCTTTTTATGCAGCTACTTTTTTAATAGTGTGTTGTTGTTGTTATTGTTATTGTGGGCGTTAAAAATCTGCCCCTTGAAGAAGCAGCAGAACAAAACAGTAAAAGACGATTGGCTAAACTGTACCTGCTGCCGCTTATAAAACGCGCTTTGTAGTTGTGTAGATGATTCATATGAGCACACACAAACACACACGTAATATGCAATGGCAGCAGCAACTTTAACCGCGTGCTAATCACGTAAAGACCACAAAAACAACAACCACAGTTAACTGCCGCTTTTTTGTTTGTTCTGTTCAAAATACATATATTGAGGAATATGCTTTAAATGAACTGCTTCCTCTTTAAATATGAAATAACAATTATAGTAAAATGAGAGTGGGAGAGAAAAAAAAACGAGTGGATAAGCAGAGGGGTTATGGTCAAACCACTGCGGGTTTGTCACAATGACAGCACATTTTTACAACAAACATATTAATAATAATAATAAGCGAGCGCCAGAGAAAGAGGGAGAGAGAGAGACACTTTGTTGCTGTTCCTACTTGTTCATCTATTGTCATTTCGATCGCTCTCTTAATAAATAATAACAAATAGCAAAACAATTCACGTAAAAATAACAGCACAGACACCATATGAGAGAAAGAAAGAGAGCACGTAAGGCAGAGAGCGAGCTTTGCATATTTCCGGCAGCGCCGCAATAACACAACAACAACAGCTGGCCAAGCATTTTTTGAGAGCTTTTTAATGGCGATGGCGACGGCGTCCAATGACATGCGCTCCCGCTCTCCCATACCAAATCGCCCAATCTTTGTGGGGTCTGTACTTGCCTGTGTGTATGTGTGTGTGCTTGTTGGTGAAATATAAACAAAAATGTTTTAAATTAATATGCTTAAAAATTTTGCTTGAGAATGAATCAATGATACAATATAATAATATGCAATAGTTTTGTTTGATTGGAACATTTTAAAAAATTTGCAATGAATAAAATTTACATACATATGTACATATATATTTTTTAAATTTTTTAGTTTGTAAATAAACGTGTTTAGGTTTTGCTCACAAACACACAAACATATGTATTTCAGAATTTTCTCGAGCTTCTACAACAAGCAGCGAAAAGCTGACGGCGACAACCCGGCGTATACGTAACCCCCCATGCATACAGCTCGCTTATGCGGGTGTGAGTGGCTGTATATGTACGTACATACATATAAATACGTATATGAGCAGGCATGTCTTGCTGTCTATGTGTGTGTGTGTGTCTGTGTGTGTGTGGATGCTTTCAAGTTGGGTCACACATTTGTGCATTACGTATACGCCTCGTATGAAGGCAGGCAAAGGAAATGGGGGAAAAATACACACAAACTCACACAAACGCACACACACACACAAGGGGGCTGTTTTACAACGCAACTGATAAGCAACTGGCAGGCAGAAAAGTAATTGCAAGTATAGGAAAATGTGCAAAAATATCAAGAAAAATATTAACAAATAATATACAAAAAAAACAAAAAACACAATTTTAAATAATGTGTGAGAACAAACTAAAAAAAAAATTCATATAAGTAAATAAAATATAGAGCCAGCGAGAGATAGAGAGAGAGCGAAATTGAGCGTCAGATAAACGCGACAAGGCCGCTTTGAATGTTGTTGTTCTTCTCACGTTTTTGTTTGCCTGTGTGTGTCAGTGTGCGTGTGCCGTGCGCGTATGCGTGTCATCATGTTATTGTTTTCATTGTTGTTTCTAAACATACATTTTTGGTAAATAATTGAATAACATGTTTCTAAAAGAAAAAATGTATATAATAATCCATTTTTTACTTATATACTTCTTTTGTTGAGCAGAATTCAAAATTTGAAAATGAAATTTATATTTATTTTATTTAATTATCACGTAAAAACTGCCTAAAACTAACCCTCTCTGCTGTCCACTCTCTTGCAGTGGAGCTTTCACTCTTCCACACACACGCACACAGCGACAGCGACAGCGACAGCTCTGCTCTCTCTCCCTCCATTCCACACAAACACACTCTGCTGACTTTTCAACGTGGTTTTTGCTTATTTTACTAAGTATTTTTATACTTTGCGGCGCTTTTCGAAATTCGTCTTTTTCGGCATGAGATTATGAAATCGAGGCACAGATTAGGAGGCTCCAACAGCGAAAAGAAAAAAAATTGCTAAGAAAATGCAAAACTTATTACAGCAACAATTGCATATTTTGTTATTCTTTTTCGTATCCATGGCTCTCACTTTGAGCGCTCTCGCGCTCTGCTTCTTTCTCTTGCTTAAGCTCACCTTCCTCTGACTACACACACGCACACACACACACGCACACACACACATTCACACACAAACACTTCAGCATATATGTACAGCAACATTTGTTGTTGTTATAAATGATCCACATACCTTTGCACTAGAAGAACTCACTACGTTTTCTGAACATTTGGCACACAAAAAAATTATTAAATTTCTATTTTATTTTATTTAAAAAAAAATTATTTTTTTTTACTTATAAGTTAATCTTTTTTATTTTGATTTTTTTTAAGCTTCGCACAATTCGAACCGTAAAGCACGCGAGCAGACAAACGAATGAAGCGAAACGGCGGCAGCAGCAGCAAATGAAATGCCGAAACGAACCACACACAAACATAAGCCCACGAACACATACTCTCACGAGCAAACGTAACAAAGGCACGTAAGTTTGCAATGCATGAGAGAGCCGGCATGCAACACACAAAGCGCGTCGTAAACAACAACAAGAAAGCTTGATTTAACAGCCAGAGAGAGAGAGAGAGAGAGAGTGGGAGAGCGTAATAACAGATAGTCGCTGGTGCCGCCGCCTGGTCGGTGTTTGTGTGCGCAAGCGTGTTGTGTGAGTGTGTGTGGGAGCGTTGGCGCATGACATTGCCATTTATTGAAAGCTGAGCAGCAACAACAAAACGAGCGACGTTAGCGTCGACCTTATGGACGCGTTTTACACGCGATTTGTGTTGTTCTTTGCTCAAAGGATCACAGCAACAACAATAGCACAACAAACAGCTGTTTGGGTTAGGCCCTAAAACAAGCATGACTCAATTGAGAGAGAGCGCATCGTAAGCAGGAGTTAAGGGGGCAGACTGAGAGAGCGCGAAACTTGGATGCTCTCGTTGTTGTCGTTAATTACAAATGTTTATAAATACAAAGAAACGCACACACGGATGCACGTAGTCAAACACAAAAACATGCACACACAGACATTGTTGTTTTCATTTATTTCTGAAAGCTTCACCTTTGCATTCCGAATTGCAAGAACTAACGCAAATTTGCTTTATTAATTAATAAATAATTAAGAAGAGTGCTAAATGCGACGTCGGCGTCAACACGTGCGCTGCCAACGCATCAAAGCAGCGCCACCGTTAACAACGACGACAGCGGCCGCAGCAGGAAATACAAGAAGCCAAAAAGCTTACGAATAACAAAAATTATAAAAAGCTAATAGTAACAATAACAACAACGCAAGCAGCGCGCCACCAAAAGCTCTAAATGCAGCATAAGCATTAATTGTTCTTGTTGTGTTTGCTGTTGTTGCTGTTGTATTTAGCATATTTAATTTTAGCCAGGCGGAAAGGAAAATTGAAAAACGGCATTGTCTTCTGTGCCGCTGCGCTGCTTCTTCTTCAGTCTCTCTTTTTGTTAAAAATAAATTATACTTTTATTTTATTTACGCACAACACAAAAACAACGCCAACGAAAGCAGAGAGAGAGTGTCAGTACGATAGAGAGAGATACGCGGAGAGAGCGAAATTAACTTTTGCCGGCTTTTTCGAGGCCCGTGCAAGCGGGGGAAAACTGCAGCCGCAGCAGCAGCAGCAGCAGCAACGACGAAATCTAAAAAAAAACGCATCAAACTAAATCGTCAACTAAAAATAAGCATATCTTTGTTGTTATCGTTGTTGTTGTTGCTGTTGTTGTTCATTTTGTTGCTTTGGCATTTAGTGAGAGTGCGCGCGCTGCGTTGGCTGAATTTGAATTTGCCTTGCTTTTGTCGCTGCTCTGTTGCCAGGTGCCGAAGAGAGTGCAGCACTGCCCCCTTCCACCACCTTGCACCATAGGGTACCGCAACACGAGTTAAGTGACAGTTCTTGGGCAATTTCAATTTCAATTGATTTGAAAATAGACCTTTGCCATATGTGTGTGTGCATGTGTGTGTGCGTGTGCGTGTGTGTGTGTGTGTGTGTGTGTGTGTGTGTCTGCTTTTTGGCCAAGCAATTTGCTGGCACAACAACAAATTGGGTCAACCACAATGAATATTACTAAATATAGACAAAAAGGCATATGCAGCAGCTACAAAAACAACATGAAGTGCTGATAAGAGACAAGCACGAAGAGAGAGTGGCGGGAGAGCTTTTGAGCCTGGATCAGCCTCGCCGCTGATGAAGGGGAAAGCAGAGCAGCCGATCACGCCCCTCACCAAAAGAACCTGTTTAACCGTAAGAAAGTTTAATTGTTCACCCGACACAAGTTTTAAATGACATTTGAACGCATCTCGATTAAAGCTTAGAAATTTAAATCTATAAAGAACGAAGATCAAACTATCGGAGCAAACAAAAGTGTAGAAGGGGAGAGTAATTGTTTTTCACCAAAACAACAAAAACTTCTAATGTTTGAAATGATGTGCGTGAGAAATCTAATACGTATTCAATTTTTGTTCAAATAAGCGGTAGATTTCCACAGCTTTAGATATTCCCACATTTTAATTTATAGAAACATAATTTACATATTTATACAATATGATGCAATAGGGGCCAGAAAATTATACAAAGACAATAACTATTATTCGCAAAATCAATTTTATTATTATCAAAATGAAAGTTTGTTAACCTAAACAAATTAGTTGTCAGTAGATTTGCATGAATTGAACAATAATTAAATTTAAATTTAGTTGTAAAATACATTTAAGTTTGAAAACATTTTAGCTTTCAAATTTCAACAATTTTATTGCGAAGAAAATTGCGTTTATGTGTTATTCTTTTGGTTAGCAACAATTCGGAAACCTTCAACATTAATTTTTTTGTATCTTTGTTAATAGCGTTTCAAATGTCCATTTGTCTGCACTCTTCAAGCGACTAACTCAAGCCAATTGGCACACACACGAGAGCGAAAGAGCGTGATAAACGTTTTCAGTTAATTAGCACATTCGAAATATCGGCAATTATTCAATGGAGGGAGGACAACTACAAACTATACAAGCTATCGTGTGGCCACAGTTTTTAATATGCATAACAATCGTCAAAGTCGACCGACGTCATGAGACAGATCCAAAAATAAGGCACTTGCCCGCGGGGAGCCTGCCATGTGAAATTGATTCACATGTCCAAACATGCAGAAACTACACATGCGGAAAAAATACAATTTCTCTTTAACTCATCTGCATACCTATAAACATGTGCAGGTGCGCACAGCACGGTGCAGCATCCACAACAACGTGACCAACTTACGCACAACGATTTGTGACGCGCTTGGCGAGAGCTATTTTGATAACCTGCGTATTTACTTAAAGCCATTTCTGTTGTTGAGATAAGTGCGTATAAAAACTCTGAATAGTAAAAAATGATAAGCTCTGAAAAATTAAATTTCTATTTTACGAGCATTGACTTTTTTGTAGGTTGAGTGTTTGAATTACTTTAATAATTGGATTTGAACTTGGTTTTTGGATATGATGAAATTAAAAAATTGCATTATCTAGCATTTTTATATTTTATTAATCATAAATAAAAAGCACAAGTAAAAGGTTCTAGTCGGGAACTCAGGGGATACCCTGAACCCTCTTATTCCAACACCAAATGCAGCTCGCGCTACGCACTCGTTTGCTTTAGTAGTAATAAAAATAACTTTAAAAAAAATAATTCTCCCTTGGCAGGGTTCGAACTTGCAACTGAGCGTATTACTTGCTGCCGCCTCTACTCAACAGCACAGACCGCACTGCTTGCCGCCGCCTCTACTCAACAGCCACACCAATAATCGAGGATTAATGAGAAAAAACGAATTAAAATAGCAGCACAAAAAACAATACAATCGAAATTGCAGTGCTGTTGATAGAATTCAAAGCAGAAGCGCATGAATGTGTGTGTGTACATGTAAACAGAAATTCTTGGAATTTGCGCATGCTGCCGCTGATACAGGGAAAGTCAAAACACGTTTCCTTTAATAATTTCTGTGTTTCTACAGTACATCTTATTATGTTATAGAATATTTGTGTATTCTCATAAAGTCAATGGCATTTAAATTGTGGCTTCTATTGGTGGGCAGCATAAATAAATAAAGTAGCGCGGAGGTGGTGATAGCTATAAAATGAAAGATACTTTATATATATAATATTCTAGGAGCTACATGTCAAGTTTGGTGACTCTAGCTCTTATTATTTACTAAAATTGCTCAAAAACAGGATTTCGATATCGGTTTTCATCGATTGCTTGGAAACGGATTAAGTTATCGATTTACGGAAACAAACTAGTACTGCGCTTGGACTAGGAGGACCTACAGCTAAAATTCCAAGATTCTAGCTCTTATAGACAGACAGACGGACATGGCTACATCGACTCGGCTGTTGATGCTGATCAATAATATATGTATATACTTTATGGGGTCGGAGATGCTTCCTTATGCCTGTTACATGCATTTGCACAAAAACATTATACCCTTTTTGCCCATTTTCAACGGGTTCAGGGTATGAAAAGAGCATAGAAATATTCTAATTATTTTCAACTTTATTCAATTCGTAATTGCAATAAGCCAATCGAATTCGACTTTTTGGCTAATAAATGAAATTTGATGCTATTTTGTTTGTTATTGACATTTGTGTCGCCTTTACCAAAAAAGGGTATGCACTCGAGTGTTTTTAGCTGGTGCGCTTTGTTGTCAAATTTCTTCTGCTTCACAGTTGTTGCTTTTGTTGTATAACAGAGCAAACGAGAAGTTGTCGCCGGTCGCCGCTGCTGCTTCTGTTAATTTTTCTTTTAGTTTTTAGTTTTGTTTGCATTTTGCGCATCGTTCTTGTTGTTATTGTTTTTGCTCGACATACACACGCACACAGACATGTATATGTACATTTGTATATGTGGCTGTATGTATGTATATCTTATCGCGCTAAGAATACAAAGTTCTTCTTTGCTGCTGCTTGTTGTGTGTGTACATACAAACAGTTACATACTTAGAGATGTACATAAGCAATACATACATATTTATGTATATGTACATGGATGTAGTGTGCGAGCTAAATGCATACATACATAAATAATTATTTTCATTTTTTATGTAATCAACAAACAGCGACCACATGCGGCGGCGGCGACGGCGTCAACGTTTGTTCCTCTGCCTTTTGCTTCCCTCTGCCAAGGTTCTCAAAAAAAGCACAGAGACACCAACACCAAGCCACACGCACACGCACGCATTTCGTGTGGAGGTGCAAAGTCAAAGCGTCAACAAAAACCAAGAGCGCGTGAGTCGCCGTTAGTTGGGTGCTGAGTGGGTGGGCACTAAAAGCGTCGCCTGCCTATGCATTCGATGCTCTTTTTCTCTTTC